CGCTTTGGCGAAGCGCTGCTGCTCCGGCGACAGGGACTGGATCCTTTTGAAGGCTTTAGGGTTTAGGGTTTAGGGTGGTTCCCCAGAAACCTAAAACAAGTTCGGGTTTAGGGGTTTGAGGGTTTAGGGTTGGGGTTTGGGCTTTAGGGGTTCAGGGCTTATAGGGTTTGGGGTTTCGCGTTCAGGGGTGAAGGCTAGGGTGTTGGAGCTCGTTTTGGACTCAGGGTATAGAACAACTCAAAAAAACATTCCTAAACCCAACAAGGGGGTAAAATGTCAAAATCCCAGGAGGCTACCTAGGGTTCGTATCATCCCCTAAACCCTAAACCCCAAACCCTAAACCCCAAACCCTAAACCCTAAACCCTAAACCCCAAACCCTAAATCCTAAACCCTAAACCTAAATCGGTGTCCCCATCCCAGACAAGCTTCGAGTCGAGGAATTCCTTCGGTGAAGGAACGGTTTCCAGAAGAAGTGGGATGACCTCCGGGTGGCACGGAACTGTCGTGGCTCGCCCTAAACCCTAAACCCTAAACCCTAAACCCTAAACCCTAAACCCTAAACCCTAAACCCTAAACCCTAAACCCAATGAAGATTTGCTGAGAAGAACTCCGACCAACTGAAATGACTGGAGAGCCGAACACAACCTCGCGCAGCACATCATGCTACGCCTGCCGAACCAAATTAGAAACCCTAAGCCCTTAACCCTAAGTCCCAAAAAGAGGAGACTGGGCAATCCCAGGACCCTAAGCAATCTTAAGCACATGTCAGGCATGGACCAAATCGTCTTTGTTCTGGATGATGAGCGCAGCTGTTGGCTTGAATGTGTCCTTAGCGATAGGGTGGCCGGACGACGCCACACAACTCCACGCACTTTGCGCAGTTGGGGTTTAGGGTTTAGGGTTTAGGGTTTTGGGTTTTGGGTTTAGGGGTCCTATATCGTTTGGGTGCCACTGCAACCAGCGAGGATTGGACGAAACACCGAAGGTCTCTGACGATGCCCGACACGCCTAGCCAAACTTAAAACTTCTAAACCCCTGACGAACAAAACCCTAAATGCCTTGAAACATCCAACCCCGACAAACCCTCATGCCTCCCAATTCCTCTCACGCAGATACGGAAATCTCAAACATGATCAGTTTCAGGCCAGGCAGCCACCTAGGACTGTAATGCCAGCAAAAGGTAATCAGCACATTGCTATTTTCTTCGCTCAAGTCCCAAGGGAGTGGTAAATAACTTTTCAGCTGGACAGCTACACTATGCTAATCTTGCAACTTCTTCAGCCGACCTTGAGCGGAATGGGATGAACCGGCTGGCACACACACAGACACACAGCGTTCTCTCTCACCGAAGCTGTTTAGGGCTTTATGGTTTAGGGTTTGGGGACTTTGCTGCGTTCACTGAGTTGGTGTCAATCCTCTTCACGCATGCCCGAGCTTCACGACGTCCGTCCCATAGTCGTGGCACGGCACAGTCTCATTGCAACGCCGAGCATCCGATGAGATGATCTTTCCAACAAGCAGAACAAAGCAGCTCAGCTGCCGCGCCCGCGCCACAAGTCGCAGGTCCTGAACACAAGCGAAACTGTGCTGGAAACTGAGACTGTGCAGGCAAGACCCAAAGAATCTAAGCTTTCCCGATCGATCTCCTGCTGCCCGTGCCTGGCAAAGCGATGAAAGACGGCAGCGTGGACAAAGTGCTCGCCTGCAAGGCAGAGGCATCGAAGCTACTGCGGGAGTTGCACATAATGGTAGGATCTCGTGTCTGAACATTTCCGATGACATGAGTGCATGGCAGGAGGGGGAAGGAGAAGGGGGGCAACCCGCCAGAATTAACCCTAAACCCTAAACCCTAAACCGCCTAAACCCTAAACCCTAAACCCTAACCCCTAAAAGCCCCTGCCTGTAAGCGAAATTGTGGCTGCAGAGCTCAGCTGCATTCCTTGGCTTCTGTATGGGCCAAGTCCTCGAAAAACTCCTCTGTGCTCAATCCCTCAACCTGGAGCATATACTCCAAATCATGGGTAGTTCTCTAACTTAGGGTCCCTTTTACGGTCCTCATGATAAGGGTGCCACCCTATATAGGGGACCCAAAAAGGGACCCCAATGTAGAGAGCTACCCTACATCGCCTAAACCCAAAATGGTGCAGCATTCAGCCGGGTCGCGCATGGCCGGGGCCTCGGCACGGTGTAGGCTAAAGGTGGAAATCGCCTGCGTCTCGGAATGTGGCAGTGACGGTCTACCGGTCGAGCCGCAGGATTTGGGAGTTTAGGGTTTAGGGTTTAGGGCTAGGGTGAAGGCTTAGGAATAATAGGGCAGACGGAACTCAGCCATCGTTTGCTGTGTGCCAAAAACCTTGAGAATCCACAACCTCTCAAGCCCCATAAAAACATCGCTATTCCTCTTATGAATGTAAGCAACATGACGACTGTTGTTCTTACTCTTAACACATGGGTGGTTGTGAAAATTATGATCCCTTTTGGGGTACCCTAAATATCAGGGGAAGTACTACAATCGGGATCCAAAAAGGGACCATAATTTTGACAACCACCCACATACATAGTACTCTGCTTGGCTGCACTTAGGAGGCTAGAAAAAAACTAAACTTTTAGCTGCCTTATTAAGAAACCCAATAAACCCAAAAAGGCCAAAGATGCAAAGTTACAGTAAAGCACCAAAGTATGTATTGCTACTCTTGTTGTTTCTTGAGGGGCAAGCCGAGGTCGGCGAAAGCCAGCACCTAAACCCGGAAACCCTACCCAGAGACTCCAAAACCGCTTAGTTAAGGAATGTCCCTTGGAATATCCCTTAAATTGTAGTAGGAACCCCAGTATTATTTAGGAATATCCCTTGGAATATCCCTGAATTAAGTTATAATAGGAACCCTAAAGCCTAATATGATTTAAGGTAAATTCCATAATGAAGGGGTTTTGGAGTCTCTGGATAATGGCCGGCTTTGGGCCGCTCTTCCAGGACAAGCAGAAACATGTGGCGGCTGAGACCCAATCTTCCCCATGTAGGGTTTAGGGTTTAGGGTTTAGGGCTTTTCTTCCTTCTTGACGATTCCACCCCCTCTTTTTCCGTCTTAAATACCCTCTTCCCCTGCCCCTGCCCTCCTTCCCCCTCCCCCCATTCCGCTGCTTATTCTTCTCCCTGACCTTCTTGTTGGTTCACACCACCACGCGCGCTTGACATAAGAAGGCGCACGAACGCGCGCACATACAAACGCGATCTATAGGTCAAGATCCCCGGGTAACCCTCAAGTATATCCAAGTGCAGTATCGATGAATAGGATCAATGCTGCTTATTCTTCTCCCTGACCTTCTTGTTGGTTCACACCACCACGCGCGCTTGACATAAGAAGGCGCACGAACGCGCGCACATACAAACGCGATCTATAGGTCAAGATCCCCGGGTAACCCTCAAGTATATCCAAGTGCAGTATCGATGAATAGGATCAATGCTGCCCCCCCTCTCACACAATGAATAAATCGATAGTGATCCCAGATCTCCCGCCCTGGTTGGGAACCGTTCAGTAGTGATGCCCCCCCTTTCCCCGAAATGTATTCCTGAACAGACAGCTCACTCAGAGGGAGGTTTTTTCCGAAAACCCTGGGAAAGCAGAGGTGAACTCAATCTAGCGACCCTAGCTTTCCACGCTACCAAAGCAAGGGTAGCTAGGCTTACCCTTATATAACTCTAAACCCTATAAACCTAAACTTCCTGGCCTGGTGAGAGTGCCTTCCAGGCGCCTCGATGCTGACAGTTCCCTCCTGGCGTGCTAAGGAGTTGAGGGCTTAGGGCTTCGTAGGGTGCGTTAGGGCTGTAGGGGAATAGTGAAGCGTGGTATGGCAAGGGCTTGGGGGATTTGGAGATCTTTCTAGCATCGTTTGGGTTCGAAAGCTGCACAGATGAGCCGTAAAAGCACACCCACTCATCCCATCAACACACTTAGGGGGAACAGTCACTACATGTGAGTGCTGTTCTCTTAATAGTGCGCATACGCAGAGTATCAGCTTGCCAGAGGCCTCTGGCCTAGTCACGGCTAAGGGCCAGGCCGGATGATGTTGCGCACGTCGCACGGCAAATACGAAAGAACTCGTCTGGTACTCCTCGCCTGTCACGGCCATTTTATCAGAACAACTCCGGCCGTCCATAGGGCTACCATGTTGGCAACTTCTCAGCATATTCAGTGCAACCTACTATAAGTCAAGTCTCTCGGTCGCTCGGACACATACTGGGCATCCGGCGCAAAAGCTCGCGCCCGTGGAACTCCATGTACTCGCCTCGGCCAACCTATGATCTTAACCAAGGGCTTCCGCTAGTTGGTGGAGGCGAAACTAGCTCGGCTGCTCCTATCTGTGCCTGCCTATGACTCAGTCATACGCAGACGATGCAGAGATCTGGGTGACCTCCATTCTCCATAAGGCCAGCAGGCTTCGAAGCTGCAAAATGATGTACCGCAAGTGCTCGACGTCACTTGTTGCACATTCCACGTACATCAAAACTCTCCGCCCTTTGGCGGAATATCAGCACAGAGGATAGGAAAGGATAGCTTCGGATGGGAGGGGAAGGGACAAGAGCATATAATACACCCTATCTTCTACAAACTACGCCCCCGGAGATGATGAGTAACTTCGCATCGAGGCCAAGAGCCCCAAAAATGCAAAAAAGCCGCCGAAGTCGATGGGCAGCAGCTTCTTCCCGATTGCTGCTGTGAGCTGGTCGTAAAGCATGCCTGAACCCGGCTCAAATTGCTGCCATCTCAAAGCGGGGACAGAACTGCTCTACACACAGGGATACTTTATAAAGGCCGGCGGCCTCTTTATCTTTTACCCTTTATACCTCAATGTAGCCCCTAGATACCCCCTAATAAGAACCCCAATATATGCCCCTATAAAAAAAACCCGACTTAAAGAGACCACCAACCCATATAAAGGATACTGATAGATGTTGTGATCTCCGCGGAGCTGAAATGCTTGGAGTCTGAATGATGTTTCGTAGCTATGCGGGACAACTAAAACCCCAGGCCCACGTCGCCTTCGAAGTCACGGGAACTGTAGCCTAGTGGCTAGCTCAACTGTTCCTCACGCAGCAGCAGAGAGCTCACTGACTTTGCACCAGGTATGATCGAGGCTATGCGTGACAGCGCGCGGAGGGCAGGGGTGGGCGATGGCTAGGCTCTGATTGCTTGCATGAGTTGCGCTCCAGCTCCCTGATAGCAGACGTCATCTGTCTTGCCAGACTCGCCATCTCCTCAGCTGGGATTTCAAGGCTTGCGCCTTTTTGAGGCTGAATGAAAATCTATCACAAGTCTGTCTTGCACTCCAGCATCCTGTACAACGATGAGAAGGCTAACCAATGACCGATCCAGCTTGTCGTCGCTGCCGGCTGCAGTCCTGCAAGACACTTGAGAGGAAACTCACGAACATGGGGGCGGGGGTGGGGCAGCGGCTGAACATGAGTGAACAAAACGGAAAACCCAACTACACATGCCCGGAGCTCCCCGGAAGAGGCCACTGCCATAGTGGCTTTGCACGGCCGGCGAGGTTTGGAGGTGTGGATTTACACGGCGGCAGGTGCAGTGCCCGGATTCCTTTGGAGTGTGACATTTGTTACAGGCATTGGCTTCTGCATCTTGTGATTTGCATCACGAGACTGTTACGGGCATTGGCTTCTGCATCTTGTGATATCACACACGAGACAGGGGATACGATTTGCTACGAGCATAGGCATCTGGACCAATGTTGCTTGGAGGTTCATGGTACCTAGTAACCAATCATAACTGTACTTATTAAATGTACTTGTAACCATGTTAGGGCACTTAGGGGGCTTATACGTGGGTTAGAAGTACAGTTGTAGTTATAGTTATTAAGTACCATGAACCTCCAAGTGACCCTAAACCCTAAACCCTAAACCCTAACCCTAAACCCTAAACCTAAACCCTAAACCCTAAGCCCTAAACCCTACTATGAGAGCCAGTCCTTTCCAGGCGCTGGTGCTGGCCCTCGCGGTGGGCCAGCAGGCTCCGCCGGTGCCAGGCCAGGACCACATCCATGTCTGCCTAACTAGGTTTAGGGTTTAGGGTTTAGGGTTTAGGGTCTAGGGCTTAATTAGGGTTGAGGGTTGAGGGTTGAGGGTTGAGGGTTGAGGGTTTAGGGTTTAGGGTTAGGGCTGGTACACCCAAAGCGGGCCTGTATATACCCTTTAAGGGGTTATATGGGGTACCTCATTCCCCGTTCTCTACTAACATTAAGCCAAAGAGCCCCCAAACCCCTTAATAAAGGAATAGACCGCAAATCATAGCAGGGACCCCCATATGATTCAAGTAGGGTATATTCTTTAAATTAAGGGGTATTGGGCTCTCTGGGTAAGTCTTGGCACTACGCAGTACGCGGATCAGATCATGTGGGTTCTATACAAAGCAGTTGGCACACTGCGCGGGCAGTTTCCTCCGCAATACATCGCACAAGTATTTCCAAGCTGCTGCTAGAACTGGGCGCGAAGCCTGGCACGGGCGGTCTCTGGCAAAAACCTTAGACCCTAAGCCCCAAAGCCCGCTTGCGACCCCCAAAACAAATTAAAACCCTTCATGGCAGGTGGGTTAACCCTAAACCCTAAACCCTAAAAACCCAAAACCCTAAACCCTAAACCCTTCATGGCAGGTGGGTTAACTCACATCAGCTCTCAAGAAATCAGACAGGTCAAAGCTCACGCGCCATTCGCAACAAGTCACACCCGCATTGGGCGATTCTCTAGAATAGCCATTTTGGCTCCCCTGTACAAGGCGTCACCTTATAAAAAGCAATTTCGAGCCCGCATGATGAAACATACTCATTTTTATGTGTAACTAGCTCGCAGCTTCTTTTTTCGTCGCGGGTGTTGTTGGTGGGCGAGGTCCTTAGGCAAAGCCTAATAAGCCTGATATTCCTAACGACCATAACAAGCCTAACCAACCAAGCCAAATAGCCACAATAATCCATATTCTTGGCGTAGTTACATGGTCCTTTAGTATGGGCCCTTAATTGGGAAAACCCTTACATACCCCTTTTGTACCCAAGGGCCCATACTACAGAACCCTGTCAAGAAGTGAAGGGGCCATATTAGGCCCTAAACCCTAAACCCGAAACCCTATAAGCCCTAAACCCTGAACCCCAAACCCCAAACCCCAAACCCTCACCCTATTCACCATACAACCCATACAACCCTAAACCCTAAACTCTGAACCCCAAACCCTAAACCCTAAACCCTCACCCTACTCACCATATAACCCATACAACCCACTGGCAAGCGGAGGGACCTCTGAAGAGCCGGAGCCCTCCAAGGCGAACAGAGCCGACACGGGCTGGAACACGTCACCTGCCAAAAAAAGGCTTAAGATTCAGGGGTTCTTGCTTTTCAGGGTTTAGGGTTAGGGTTTAGGGTTTCGGGTTTCGGGTTTAGGGTTTAGGGCTCAGATTCACGAAAGCGATGGTTTGGAGAGACAGTCCAAGCCTTTGAAAGCAGGATTTGCCCTTCAGGGCACCCCCGGAGAGAATCTTCACCATACGCGATACTGTGATATACTGCACAGACAATAGAGAAATGGAGAAGTATAGAAGTAGTAAAACATACCAAAACACAGTAACTGTAGCGATGTAGGAAGGAAGAAATACTCACAATAGTCATCCAGCAGTAGAGGAATATATAGTGACATAGTATGATGTAGTATGATAGGAGTGTGGCATAGAAATCACAGAACTCTTGGGCTCGGCTTCAAAATCCACCCTGGCCTGGATCTTGGCTCAGAAGCGTGCCTGCAGCCACAAACACCACTGCAAAGAATACTCTTCTGACTCTGCGCCCTGCTTCTGAGTAGGGAATGAGGGAGTATAGGGTTTAGGTAGGGTCCTGGGTTTAGGGGTAGGGTTTAGGGTTTAGGGTTCATGAGGGAACGTCACTGCCATCAAAAGCATGGTGCCCAGCACGTCATCTTGGCACACAAAGCGAGAGTGGCAGGCTCAATGGTGCGGAATAACATCCCTAAAGCCCTGAAACCCGGAACCCTAAACCCTAAACCCTAAACCCTAAACCCTAAACCCTAGCCCTAAACCCTAAACCCTAAACCCCAAACCCTCAACCCTGGAGCCTAGCTCTGACAGCAAGGTGTTTGCAGCTTTCTCTCCGAAGGTGTGCGCGTTGTTGAAGAATCTCAAGGCTGCCTGTTGGGTCACAACTCGGAGGTTCATGGGCACTTATATTGAGTTCGGGTTTAAGTCAGAGACCCAAGTCCTAAACCCTAAACCCTAAACCCTAAACCCTAAACCCTAAACCCTAAACCCTAAACCCTACTCAGAGTAACCTAGGAATAAAAGGGTGCCCTCTCGGGTTGTTAGGGGCCCAGGCCCCTAGACAACAGGGAAGAAGGGGCTACTTGTGGGTCGTGGCCTAAGTAGGGTTATAAAGTACCCTGAATACGGTTGCAAGCATAGCTGCCTTACCTATGACCGTACCCAGGAACCTCCAAGAAGGGTTGAAGAGGTTTGGGGTTTATGGGGGCCCGAGATCACATGCATTGTGCAGGTTCCCAGTAACCTACCCGGGGACAAACAAGGGACCCCCCTTAAAGGCCCCTTAGATACCTTAGCAAGCCTCGGGGCCCCTACTTCAGAACCCTTTGAAGGTTCAGGGTTTAGGGTTTAGGGTTTAGGGTTTAGGGTTTAGGGTTTAGGGTTTCGGGTTTCGGGTTTCGGGTTTAGGGTTTAGGGAGAAGACAAGGGACCATCTTGAGGGACCATGTAGTTCCCCTTCGAGCTGTCGAGCATCAAACCGCCCTAATTGGAACTATAGACCTCACCAGCTGGGCCCTCAGCACAAGGACAGTACTTGGGGGGTTCATGGTACTTAGTAGCTAATTCTAACTGTACTAATAACCCACTTACAAGCCCCTTACGTGCTCCTATTATGGCTATAAGTACAGTTAGAAGTGCAGTTAGAATGAGTTAATAAGTACCATGAACCTCCAAGTAGAGCAGCCACATGAAGTACGGCTTTTCTTACTAGTCTCAGTACCCCCCAAAATTATATACACGTACCAGTATTTACGAGGAGCCAATAACGGAAATAATAAGCTCTGGGCCCAGGAGTAACCTAGGAATAAAAAGGGTGCCCTTTAGTTTTAAGGGGATTCTAAGGAAACCCCAACCCTAAAAAGGGCCTACTCCGGGTCCTAGATTATGGAGTTTAGATGGTTTGTTTGAAGTTTCGGCTTAGGGTGTTTCTGCTTGTACTGTGATAGCCGGCCGTATGCTTCAAGACCCGAGGCACTGAACAGGTTGCAAGCATGAAATGTTAGCAGTTGGGAACCCGTGTCGATGAGGGTTACGACTTGCGTGCCGCTGTTCCTACAAACCATCTCAGGTCCCACAAACCACAGCCAGGGCAAACAGCCAGCCTGTATGTCTTGATTCCGAGCAGGAGTGTGGCAGTCCGGGGCGGTGCGGTTCACGGCAAAGTCAACCGTCCCATTTCGGAGCCTGCATAATGGGAGAGAGAACACACAGTGCGCCGTTGCAAAGCAGCACCGTTCCACTACCCACCATCAAGGATGTGCTGTGACACGAAGCAAGCAACTGGAGGAACCCTAAACCCTAAACCCTAAACCCTAAACCCTAAACCCTAAACCCTAAACCCCAAAACCCCAAAACCCCAAAACCCCTAAACCCAAAACCCTAAACCCTGAGAAGCTTGCAAAAGACTCCTCACACTGGGACTTCGCATGCCTGCGAGCCAACCAGGTCATGTCGAGCTCAAGCCTGATTTGGGTTCACGCTGCTCTAAAGGTAGGGTTTAGGGTTTAGGGTTTAGGGTTTAGGGTTTAGGGTTTAGGGTTTAGGGTTTAGGGTTTAGGGTTTAGGGTTTAGGGTTTAGGGTTTAGGGTTTAGGGTTTAGGGTTTAGGGTTTAGGGTTTAGGTAGCTTCATGGTCCCTTGATGTGGGCCCTTAAGTAGGGGACCCCTCCTATACCCCTTATATATGTTAGAAAGCCCAAGGGCCCCTACTTCAGAACCCCCTTAAAAGGTTTAGGGTTTAGGGTTTAGGGTTTAGGGTTGAGGGTTGAGGGTTTAGGGTTTAGGGTTTAGGGTTGAGGGAGAAGACAAGGGACCATCTTGAGGGACCATGTAGTTACCCTTCGAGCTGTCGAGCATGAAACCGCACTTATTGGAACTGTGTGAAGACATCAGTGGGGCCCTCAACACAAGCACAGTGGAGCAGCCACATGAAGCATGGTATTTCTTGCGAGTGCCCCCGAAATTATATGAAGTCACCAATCTTGACAAGGAGCCAATAACAGAAATATCAACCCTGTTTCATATGGGGCTTTCCGAACGTAGGATAGGGGGGGTACCCTTTTTGGGGGTCCCGTTAAGGGGATTCTCTTCTGCTTGGGGCTCTACAAGGGGTACCCCCTATTTTGGGAAATACCCACATGAAGTAGGGTTATACTAAAAAGGAACCTTATATACACTCACCAATAACAGGAATATAAACCCTGCTTCACATGCAGCCATGCAACGTTGGTGCACACTCCGCGGTCGGGCGGGGCTGATGTGGCTCCGCAGGAGGGGTCCTTGGCGCGACTGCAATGACACGCTACTACAGGGGCCTAATAATTCGAATAGGGTGTTGGGGGGGGGGGGGGTATTGTCGCATAATTATGGTGGGACTCTATAAGGGAAATTAAGTATTAGCAAGTATTCCGACCCCTTTATTACATTGAGGAGACCAAGCTGTCTCTGGGACTACCCTATAACCCGCTTTATACTTAGTCACAACACCTGATTTGTCATAAAAAAATGATCATGGTCGCTGTCTCGCGTATACCAGCTACCGTCAGCTACCAGCTGCGGGCAAGAAACGTCACGGTCTCCAGCGTTGTGCCTCTTCACAGCGCAGCACTCGCGTTTTGCAGAAGCAACGCGCGCACAGAATATTCAGGGCAAGGTGGCGAGACTCATTCGGGGAGCTAAGCCAGCCCCTAAACCCTAAACCCTAAACCCTAAACCCTAAACCCTAGACCCTAGACCCTAGACCCTAGACCCTAGACCCTAGACCCTAGACCCTAGACTTTGTGTCTGGTTGGGTTGTCCCTAGCTGGCTTCCGCACCGCAGCCAAAGAAAGGCGGTCCTCGCGAACCACTCAGCAAAGTGAGACCTGGAGGGCAGATACTTTCATGGGTTTCCCTACTACCCCCTCTATGCTACCCCCCCCCCCCTAGGTTCCCCCCCTTAAACAACCTTAACTAAACGGGAACCCATGATACTTTTAGTGAGCGTTGGCACAGCCGAGTTCAAGCCCTTGCCTCAGCCTCTAATTTCGGGGTGAAGAATGAACGTCAGGTGCTACTAGCCTTGATTCAGGGCACCCTGCGTGGGCCTTCAAATCACTTGCTTACCATACACCATGAACCCCTTGCAGCCCTAGAACCCTAAACCCTCAACCCTAAACCCGAAACCCTAAACCTTCCCGAATAGCAACACCCGGCTGCCCCAGAACCCTTGAAGTGATACTGACCCAGTGCTGACTCCCCTCGCGACTCACAAGCTAATTAGAAAATCAGTCCGCCAGATCTTAAGATCATAAGATAAGATCATAAGACCACAGGGTCATAAGAAAATAAGATAGTAGGAGAATAAGATAAGAAGATACTACAATGATATGCGAAGAAAGCACTGCAATAAGAACCAATACTAGAGTAATGGGAAAACAATACTAGAGTAATGGGAAAGTAGAATTCTAGAATAAGAATACGGGAAGGACAGAGTCATAGAAAATACCATGGCCATAGAATGATGCAATGATATAATGGTATAGTGGTCTTATGGTATCATGAGATAATGATAGAACAACATACTGGCATACTGACATAGCAATAAAACAGTTGCTGGTAACAGGAGTGGAGACGCAGTTTCTTGGCCGGGCGGCGCTCCCTGGCTCCCTCCGAGGTCATGTCGAGACGCCAGGTGGTTGTCCAGTTCCAGCGATGTTCCTGCACCTGTCCCAAAGGGTCCATGTACCCAAAGGGTTTAGGGTTTAGGGTTTAGGGTTTAGGGTTTAGGGTTTACTAAAGGGTCCATGTACCTATATATTATATACTTGGGCCTTGAAGGGGTCCCCATACAGTAGCTTTAGGGCGCAAGTATATACTATATGGCTACACCCCAGACCTTCCCCAACACCGAAACCCGATTCACGTTGACAGACTCTCACCATCTATAAATTTTGCTTTTTCCCAAGCCCTATAAACCCCATCAACCCTAGAAACCCCCAACCCTAAACCCTAAACCCTAAGCCCTACACCCCTAAACCCTAAACCCTAAACCCTAAACCCTAAACCCTAAACCCTAAACCCTAAACCCTAAACCCTAAACCCTAAACCCTGCGCGCCTGGGTTTTGGTCTTCACCGTGGACTTCCAGGAGCCGAGGATGCCCTCAGTCTCCTCGATTTTGGCCACTCCCACCTTGAAGGGGCTGGCTGCACTTGGGTTTAGGGTTTAGGGTTTAGGGGTTTAGGGTTTAGGGTTTAGGGGTTTAGGGGTTTAGGGTTTAGGGTTTAGGGTTTAGGGTTTTAGGGTTTTAGGGTTTTAGGGTTTTAGGGTTTTAGGGTTTTAGGGTTTTAGGGTTTTAGGGTTTTAGGGTTTAGGGTTTAGGGTTTAGGGTTTAGGGGTTTTAGGGTTTTAGGGTTTTAGGGTTTTAGGGTTTTAGGGTTTTAGGGTTTTAGGGTTTAGGGTTTAGGGTTTAGGGTTTAGGGCTTAGGGCTTAGGGTTTGTAACGATGCGGCTGGTGACTGTCATCGCGCTCTTCAATTCTGTTCTGTACATCATGCTAGGCCTGTATAGGTGGGCTGAAAATCAACACCTATCGGCACGGCAGCTATCCACTGCCCAAAACTGATGAGCCGGAAGGCTCCAAAGGCGGTCTGCTCGTGCTCTGCACTGAGCAGCTCTGCCAGCCGGAGGCCAAACTGCTGAAGAACCCTTGCATGCCCTTCAGGGAACACTAGGTCGTCTAAGACGGAGCTAGTCTCCGGAAAGGTGGCCACAAACCGGCCAAGCTTCGGCATGCAGCGCTCAAACGCTGCTGCCAGGGAGTTGTCCTTGGCAGGACACGTCAACAGTGTGCGCAGCTCCAGCCGTAGGTCGAACTCGTGAGCCTCTGGCGTGGCTGTCAACGGCGGCCGCAGGCAAGCCCAAAAAGGTTTTGGCCCTACAAGGGCCGTGACCGGTTTGGAGGTAGCCTGCTTGATGTTGGTCTCCTGCGGCAGCGCTGGTGGTAGATCAGCCTCCGCGTAGGCAGAAAGGCACGCCTCTGCCCTGCGTAAGTGCTCACGCAGTCTGTCCTGTGTCCAGAATTCTCTGGAGCAGACCTGGCAAGCTGTGCCCCGTAGCACTGAGGTGGCGCGTGCGTGCTGTCCATGTTTCTTGCTCATGTGTGCAGCTTTCGCGGCAGCGCAAGTGAACAGGACGCCACATTGTTCGCACGCATGCGCGGTAGGTAGGCTACCGGCTTGATATGGGGTGGGCTTCGGCATCAGCATCACCCCTTGTTGGGCGGTCGCCTCGCGATACTTGGCCTCATCTATGGCACTCTTGGCCAGGGCAAGCCTGCTGTGCAGCCACCTGTGGCGAGCCTTCTTGCACAAATGGGCGACATCAGCTACCCGACACAGGTATGTGCGTCGCCACATGGCAGTGGATTCCTCACTGGTGGCTATGGATGGCAATGGGTCAGACCCTATGACCTCCAGCAAGGCATTGGTAGCGGAGACCGCCTTCTGCAGCCAGCTCAGCTGGCGAAAGAGGGCCGTGTGGAGATGCGGGAAGGAGTCAGCCATGGCTTGGTGTAACGCCCTGGTCAACTGCATCTGCCGTGCTTCCTGAGGGAGCAATACGCCAATGGCCGCACACGCTTGAGCATCTGTCATCAGTCTGCATGACACGAGGGCGATGGGGCGGACTGCCCGTCTGACAAAGCTCATGTAGTGCGCGTGAAATTGGTGCTCCTCCTTGTGAGTCGCAAAGTGCCATCGCTCAAGTCCAAATTGGAATTTGAGCAGCACCATAGAGACAAGGAGGTGTGTCTTCTCTCTGGGCTCCAGATGTGGGTTATACAACAGCTTGGCTCTGACTGCCCCAAATGCGGCCTCTGTCAACTGGGCCCTACGGCGGATATCTCCGCAGGCGGAGTCCTTGTCTGATACGGAACTGCCGAGATGTATGTACGTCTCGGAGAGATGCAGATGCGTGCCGTCGCCAAGTGGCAGTTTGGCATCCATCTCAATCAGCATATGGTGCCTAGCTGTCTGTGCTCCTCTGCCGTGCAGGACGACGATGGCCCCGCTTTTGCCAGGCTGCAGATTGAGGGGTATGCCAATGATGGCCAGGCGTTTCTTTGCCAGGTTAGTGGCAGTGATCAATGCAGTCGGAACGTCGGACGGCTGATCCACCTGAATGAGCACTGCTGTGTCATCCATCCATGTCGGTAGAGGGTCTCTCGGCATCATCTCCCCCGTGCCCAAGGAGCATGCCATGCCCTGCGCTTGGAGATCATGCATGAGCCCATCGACAAAGATGGTGTACGTGAGCACGAAAAGGAGGTCAGCAAGGGGTGCCCCAGGCACGGTTCCTTTGCTCGAACGATAAACCTCACCATCCTCTGGGTCAAGCGTGAACCAAGTGCGGCAGAGTGAATGCCTGAGCAAATGGCAGATCTCAGGTGGCACACATGCGTTCCCCAAAATGTCGTTGTCTTGCAACAATTTGCGCCAGTCCTCTGGGAGCATGCCCTGAACGCATAGGTGGTTGAGCCACTCGTTCAAGGAAAGTTCTGACGAAGTGGGATGCAAGAAAGCCCTGACCGTCTGATAAAAGGCGGACTCCCCGTCAAGAAACAGTACCGCTCCTGAAACGCCTTCCTGATGCAAGCGGGCGAGGTGAAGGGAAACGGACATTGCAGGCAGGGTGAGGGGCTGTCCTTTTCGGGCACCAGCGGCCCCCGGTTGCACTAACTTGTCCAGTCCTTCAAGCAAAGCTGGACGCAGCGCATGGCTAACGGCTTTGTGAGCCGGGTCGAGGAGGAGTATGCTGCGCCAACCCGAGAGCGAGTTGGGGTCCTTCCCGGCTTTGGCAATGGGAACTGCATGTCCACCGCGCCACAGGGCCGGGTACTGTCCACGCGCGGCGGATTTGATGACAATCGGATAGTGTGTGATTGCCGCCAGCCCGGGTTGAAGCTTAAAGACCTCTGCCGGAATGCTGGTCACTCCTGGGGCTTTGGCGGCTTTGAGCTTAGCGAAGCCAATTGCCAACTCGCCCAGCGTGGGAAGCTCTTCGAGAGCGACGTCGTGGGTGGGTGCATCCGGTCTTGTGGCCGTACGGAGCTCAAGGAAGCTAGCGCGAGTAGCACGCTCGGCCTTGGCGAAGTGTCCCCCCAGTACGCGCAGGAAATCCCCACGGTCTTGAGTGCTTTCGCCGGAGGCAGTGGGCAAGGTGGGCAGGAGTGGCGGTGCCTTGTACTTCCGTCCCGTCCTGAGCAGGGCACGCATTAGCTTCGGGAGCTCTGCGTTGGACCTAGCTTGGCGGAACATGGTCCGACAGAACTCTGCTTTGTCCTTCGCGGTGTTCCAGCGCAGGTGCTTCCTGCTTCTGTGCAAAAGTGTGGCAACCTGTGCGATGCGGTTGTGGGCCCGGTGGGCGCACTTTGCTACTCGGGCAGTCTTTTGCTCAGATATGCCATTCGACCATGTCTGAAAGAGGGCGAAAAGGAGCTGTCGCCTATGGGTGGCCTTGAGCCTGCTCGACAGTCTTCGCAACCTACGCTGGTGTCGGAGTAGCGCCCACGTGTCACTCGAGAGAAACGGTGCCCGCGGCGCAGGTCTGGCCGCGAGTGCCGTGTCCCTGCAGGCGAACAGGTGTTGATTGACGATGGCAACATGGTCGTCGATTGGTGTCTCCCAAGGAATTTGCGGCATGGTACGCCACGCATGCGTAATTGTCTGCCTTCCTTCTTCCGAGGTCAGCAGCGCACGCCACGAGGTCGTCGGCTTCTTGCAGGCTAAGTCCATGTTGGCGTGTAGCGTGGAGTAAACAGGCTGATGGTCGAGGCCTGCAAACAGGTCATCAAAGGATTTGGGCTGATGTGTCCTTGCAGCTGGCCCCCATGTCTCCGGGTAGGCCACGTAGTCAAGGCAGTGGGCTTGACCTGACGGTGACACCCATGTGACTAGAGGTGCGCCCGAAGTGGCACGTGCTCCTGTGTGGCACAATTGGTTTGTCCGGCACAGCCCATCTAGACATTCCGCTGCCGTATTGGCAGGTGGCTGTTTATCTGGCGAACCCCTCTCCGTGAGCTCAAAGTGAGCATTGGCGTCAAGCATGAGGAGAGGGATCCTACCAGGGGGCAGCTGTTTGAGGATCTGTTGCAGGTGGTGCCACCACTGTCGTATGTCCTTCTGCGGTTTGGTGCTCGTGGGCCCGTGTCCCACAACGAAGGCAAACTGCAAAGGCGGTGCATCCCCAAAAACCACAAGCAAGTCTGGTAGCTTGGTCTTGATCGAAAAGGTGTTTGGGACAAACCTAAGGGTCTTATCCGCATCATGTGAGAGGTCGGCTTGTGTGTCAACCCACAACTGGCATCCGTCCTGGCCATCAACAGCATGGGATGCGTAAATGAGAAAACCATCTTTGATGCTGACATGCTCTGGTGCAGTTCTGGTCTCCTGAAGGCCGATGACCTGCCGGCCATCTCTCCGGAAGAGGTGCAGGAGCGCTTGTTGCTGTAGGCATGTCTTGAGTGAAGTGTATTGTAGGTGGCCAGGCAAAGCCGTACCTCGCAAGCCTGCACGCTCGTACGTGCCTCGCAGCCAATGAGAGCAGCTGGCGAGGCAGCCTGAAAGCAAGGTGTCGGGCTGAAAGGGCGAGCATCAGAAATCCCTGTGCCATTCTGTGTCGGAAACATGCCCTTGGGTGAGTGAATCAACCAGAGTCTCTCAATTTCAGGATGCTGCAAGAAGGCCTCAAGGGGCAGCAGAGTCGACGTCTCCGGCAGCGCAACGGCCCAGGAGGCCAGTGAGTCAGCAAACTCGTTGCCCGGTATGCCGGTGTGGCTGCGGCAATGTGTTGTGCTGAGATTGCATCCCCGGAAATGACACAGCAAAGTACAGGCTCTGGCTGCCTTCGTGATGGTGTTGTCACATTGTGGTACATGGGTGGCCATTGCGATGCCCTCGGCAGCTGTGGAGTCAAAACATACAGTGCCTGAAGAGGCACCTGAAGAGGCAAGCAGGGCGGTGGCAATGGTGAAAGCAAAGACCTCTGCTGGGAACACGGAGAGGCCCCATGCTGCGGCAGCCGGAGTTGAGAGTCGGCCTAACTTATAACCCATCCACGCAAATTGGCCGGTTTCGGTGACTGCGAAGAAGACCGCCGCCCATGCAAGGGCTTTGTCCGAGTCCCGGAAAGCC